GGAAATGAGCAAGCATGTACGGAAAAAGTATTCTTAAACTTGGGAACAGTGCACATCCTGACAGTGGGAATTAATCAAAGCTTGTTTACAAGAGCTATTTTTAGCATAAAAGGTTATCATAAACACTGCAATAAGCATTTGCCATTACAGTTCAAAGTTTCTTCTTGATGAATAAATTCTACTTTGGTGGTTAGAAATTTTTTCAAAATAGAGCTGATTAAAAAATACTTATCAAAATTTAATACAAACTGAGACATGGACTGAAAAATACTGCAGCAAAATTTGATGCAGGCTGAGAAATACTGCCTTGGGGCAATATGAACAGTGGGTGACCCATCAAACTGGGACGTGGGACACTGGACAGCGTTGCTCTGTTCCTGGTTCTGCTGTAGCTCTGGCAGTCACCCCAGGGAGGCCACTGCACTTTTCTGAGGCTCTCTGACGTGTTTCAACATCTGATCTCACCTAGATGGGGATTCTCCCTCCTTTATAGGCTTCCCAGTGCTACATGAGCACAAGCTTGGCCGTGATCCATGTATGTAACCATAATATGAACAATAATGTTACAGCACTTCATTCTGCTGAATGTGCTATTAATGTATAGTTAAACTGACATATTTGCAGTCCAGTCTCCCTGCTATACTGTCATGGTGCCTGAACTGAGATATTCCCATTAGTAGAGGGGAGATGGAAGAAGTTGTAGGAAAAACCAAGAAACACATCCTTATTTCAAAATTTAGCTAGCAGCTATTTTGAAAAGCAATGCTGGCTGGCAAAAAAAAAAAAAAAAAAAAAAAAACTCACTAAGTTCAGCATAATCTGAATCCACAAGTACCTTTCTTTAAGACCTGGAAAATTCTGGCAAGTCTAGATGGGTTGCTGCTACCTGGATAAAGTGACCTCAGACCTACTGGAAACCAAAGGCTGAAGTTCTGCCCCTACCTCCTCATGCTAACCTCCCATTTCCATTTGGTCCCAGCTTTCTCAAGTGTTTTCCATCTGAAGCTGCATTTTCTTATGCTAATGCTCCAGTCCAGCCCCGAGGTAAATTAATGAAGAAAATTTAAAGCAAAGTGAAAGACAATAGGGATTTCTGGGAACAGCTTGCAGTAGCCATGCCTTTATTTGTTTTTCCTCTGCAGAAGAGATTCTTTCTAAAGCAAACCGGATTTTTGCTAGTGGCAGTAACTGAATTGCTTCTGACGTATCAGTCTCCTAATGTGTGTATATCCTCTGTGTATTAGTATCTAGTGATTTTCACATGAGAAAGGGAACAAGCTATAATGCTGGAACTGCAGCCATATGGGTGACTGTTATTTACATTACTATAATTATACTAAGTGACCTGATAACCACCACAGTGATGCCCAGCCTATTTCTTTGCTGCAGACTAAGGATCTTCAGGTAGCCAACATGCTTGCCACCTTCTGGGACTGTGTGTTTGTAACCACCACAAAGAACCTGGACACAGCAGAAGATGTGAGCACCTTTTGGTGCGTCCCCCAGTGCCTGGGCTTCCCTGGGTAGGCGGCTGGGGGATGCTCATGGGGGACAGGCAAAGAACAGGCAGCAGCAGCAGCACACTGGCCCCTGGAGGTACTTGTCACCTACCTGTGTGTGCCTGATAGTGCCTACGGTTTCCTCCATACAGCTGCTCTGTCTTTGAAATGTGAGCGTGCCCTATTAAGTGGTACAAGAAACCCGTATCCACCAGCTCCCCTCGCCTCCTGTGGCCAGGGCTGCTGAGGGGGGGGAAGGAGGGGGTGCAGGAGGGTACCAGGGAAGCTGGAGAGTGTCTGCAAAACACCTTAGTTGTGCTTTTGGGTTATGTGAGAGGGGATGCACAGCAGCACAAGCCCTTTTCCCTCCCTCCTCCTGGTCCACATTACAGATGCCTCCAGCTGGATGAAGGTAATTTTAATAAAAAACGTTGAACTGTGATCCCACAGAACCCTGTAACCCTGTGCTTTAAAGCTGACTACATCTTTAAGTGCTGTGCTCAGCCAGGACTTTAAGGGTTTGAACCTGCAGCCCTGATGTGAGTGATCTGATGTCATCTGTGTCTCTTTGTATAAGTAATATAATTTATATACATGGCAAAGCAAACTTAATCATCTGATAATACAAGTAAAGCGTTTGTCATTCACTGTTGGAGGCATTTAGGAATACAAATGCTTTGAATAGCCTTCCTGCCTTTGAATGGTCATGTTTTGTTAATGCAAACTTAATGAGCTGGGAAAAAAAAATGGAAAGGAGGATCTGGGGTTAGAGCTGAAAAGTCATTTTTTTCTCTGAACCCACACTTGGCTGATTGTCTTGGGCTATAGCCATGATCCCTGCTGAATAAACCATTTGTTTGCTTCCGGAAAAGTAAAAAAAGACCCTTGACATTCTTTACGCAGCAGAAACAAGCTTGGGAGCAGATGGTCACTTACCTCTTTTTTTATTTTTTTTTTTAAATTTTTTTTTTTCCTTCCCTAAATGTCATTATGGTCAAAGTGCATACTATTCAAATGTATTATTGTGTATTTTCTGTGTTTTAAATGCTAGCCCTGATGTAATTTCCTGAAGTCGATTGCTTTGTACTGAGGAGGAACTGGCCCCTGCGTGTGTAGTTAGAATTGCAGGGCAGGGACATGAAATGATAAATCCCCAGCCTGTGATGGCCATCCCCAGAGAGCGTCTTCTCTTCCCCGCTGCCAATCACCCTGAGAAGCAAAAGGTGATAAACCAAGTGCTCCCAAGGGCTGAGGGGGCTCAGTCTGTTTGTTCCCTTGTTTGGACGATGGGTAACGGGCTGCTGCTGGGGAGGGATGTTGAGGAGCAGGAGGAGGATGCAGCAGCGGCAGCAGCCAGCGTCATTTTGGTCGCCACGCGTCAGTTCCAAGCAGTGGCTCGGTGGGCTCTGCATTGCAAATGCTCATCCCTCTGCATTTGCTTGCTGTCCATCCTTAGGCACTAGCAGATGCAGTTGCAGGAGGTACACAGATCAAACTCATCCTTTAATCATAACTCATTAATACTTCAAAGCAAAAAGTGCGTTAGTTTGTCTCAGCCTCTTCCCTATCCAAAAAAAACCACCAAGCCCAAACCACTTCTAATAATGTTTTACAAAGCAATACCCCATCCCTGCTTCTAGACTTCTTCCAAAATGAGTACTTTGACAAGAAACATGAAGGGAAATGATGAATGTGCTGTTTAGGGAAGGAAAAGAACAAAAATGAAATACTTTTCTCAAGTGCTAACAGTATGTGTATTAGAGAACAAAAACTGTGTGCTGAAATTGCGACATTAAACCAACAAAGAAGAGAAAGGTCTCCAAGAAACTTGTTTGAGTCCCACTGTTCTTGCGAATAAGACTGAGGCAATTATGGCTGGAGCTTCTGGCCAGCAAAATCAGTGGTGGGCCCAGCCTGGAGCACTCTTGTGCCACCAGGGAAGGGCACAGAGAGCAGCATCGCTACAGCTCCTCTCACTTGTCATCCTTGCTGCCTTGGGCTGTGGAGCCCCTTTGATCTAGATGGGACTTAACCCATGGCCTTGTATCTTCAGCAGTGTAGAGTTCGAGTTGCTTATTCTTTATTCTAAGACAATAAGGGGGAGGGGGTTGGTTTGTTTGCTTTTTCCCCCCAAATTCAGAGCCTTACCACTACACATATTTATAATGACTGATCACAAATGTGCAGGCTAACTGGCAAAACTATAAAGATAAGCTCACCACAGCGTGTCTGAGGGACACAGACCCGATGTGATATCTATAAATTGTTTTGTAAATCAAAAAAAGCCCAGAATTTTCACGTAAAACATGTCAAGAAATTAATGGGCCAGCTCCTACAGACAAATTTTTCAGTACTACTCATCTACAAATCATCTCCTGCAGGCTTCTTATTCATGAAACTGAAGCATGCTTAAAAGTGTAGAAGGGAAGGCAAGAGTGCTGAATGGACACTTGGGTGACTGGAATTAGGAGGAGCAGCGTCTCCTTCTCCCTCTCTGCCTCCCATGGCAGGAGATGAGCAATGTGGAGCACACACAACGAGGGCATTGCGGTGCCGTCAGCTGTCTCTACAGCACAGCCAAAAAGCAACAGGAAAATGTGTAACCGAAAAAAAAGCTTTAATAAATGTTCCAGCATGGCCTTAGGTTTCAGTGTGACAGTGGGACGACTTTCCCAAAAATGGGTAGGATGTGCTGCGTTCATGAATGTGCGTAGGCAGACACATGGGATGTAAGTGGGGTCTGAGGTTCTCTTTGTGGGACAGGAGAAGTATCAGCAGGTGACGAAGCTTGTCAGAGTTTGGAGGAGTGGCACGTAGGGAGTTGTGATGTCTGCAGGTGAAAAAGCAGGTATTGGTGAGATTAATCTGTGTTTTTCCCAGGAGTACTGAGATTCATGGGATGAAAGAGAGATGCCCCCAAAAGGACTTCAAGGGGGCGGTTTTCTACTTTTTAGCGTTAACATTAAAGGTAGCGTTAACAGGCATCTCCATGCTGAGCGGAGAGGTCTATTTAAGCACACTTTGTAGGAACAGTATTTGAATAACTTAGAAATTTGACCTGCTGGAGAAGTCTTTTGTTAGATGTTTGTTAGGGAGCGCTAAGTTTATTTACCTTCCATAAGATTTGCACTGTGCCTCGTGCCGGTTAGGAGATACAAAGGTTGCACGTGGCCAAAAGAATGCGCGTGAAGAAGGTGCGCTTCGGTGTCTAGGTGTATAGGTGTTATGAGCTGAACACATGTCTTGCAGAAACATGCTAAAGGTGGGTAGAGGGTCTATTGCGTTTGCCAAAAAGCTTAGAGAAGTATCTCCTGCCTTTCTAGTGATAAGGACATCCCATTCATGCACTGTTCAGAAAGCCCCACCAGAAGGGGTTTGTGGGAAGGAAGTTCTAACAGCACAAAGGTATTTTTGTTGCCTTGTAACTGGATGTGCTTCCATTGAAAAAGGCTGGCTAGGGCGATGAGGACTTTATATTCTGCCCTTTTTTTCTTTTCTCAGTATGTGCTGACAACGAGAATGAACTAGAGGCAGACCAGCAGATGGACAACTTGTACCTGAAAGCTTTGGAGGGATTTATTGCCGTGGTGACACAGGATGGAGACATGATCTTTTTGTCAGAGAATGTCAACAAATACATGGGTCTTACCCAGGTAACTTGTTCCCTAACACTTTCCTGTCTTTGTAATACAATTCCTAGAAACGAGTCCTATGCCTAAATGCAGAAAAACAGCTTCATGTCACTGCAAAAAAAAAAAAAAAAAGATTGGGAAAAAAAGGTCTTATTTCTCAGGCAGGTACCCTGTGCACCAGACCAGCGTGGGGGTTTTTCGCTCTCCCTTTCTATCAAAGTTGTAGTGTCCTTGGTGACTGCAAACCTGCCTTCCTAGGTGGTGCCGTGGAGAGGAGAATGGGTGTTTATTCAACTGGGGCCTTAGACTATGGGACAGAGGGGATAGAGTTGCTCTTTTGGGTCCCCCCTTTTCTGCTTGGGGGGGGTTGGGGGTTTTCTCTTTCTGTGTTGAAAATAGCCAGTGGTGTTGACTGCTAACTGCACCATGCAAATCCAAAAATAGGGAATTGCTCTGGGGAGAAAATTAGAAGTTATGCATAGGATAAACACAGGTAGGGTCACAGGATTTGTGTCTGTGAGCATCCTGTTGATGCACTTGGTTCTAGTGACCAGTTTCATCTGAGTAGGTTTGTATTTAAAAGCAGATAAATACTATTAGTTGCTTTTCTTTGGCTAAATGTAGTTCATACTTCTTCTGCACAGGTGGAATTAACTGGACATAGCGTTTTTGACTTCACTCATCCATGTGACCATGAAGAAATTCGAGAGAATCTGAGTCTGAAAAATGGTAATGATGAAAATAGAAAAGAGTCACTGTTTGCTTTTTAAATAACCAAATTAAGTAATTGGCTGACAGTAGAGATCTGTTAGTCGTGGTCAAGGGAATTTTCATTCCTAGAGTAGTCATTAACTGTTGTTCAATACTTTGTAGATTTGTTTTGCCAAATATTGCTTATATATGATAGGACTAAGAATGGTTTGTTTAGTGTTTTCCTTTCATCGAGTTAAGACAGGCATGTTTTCACTTGTAACGTTGCAAATATTTATGTGCTGCAAGCTAAAACGTAGATTTAAATGCACAAAGTCCCATTTAAGTTCCACTTAAAGTTTTAGGTCTGAGCTCTACAAACTGCTCCTCAATGGTCCATGCATCTTTGATGGTCTCTGCAGGTAAATTATGTGAGAATTAGTCTGTAATTTCTATTGAATTCTTCGTGCTTATAAGTAGAAGAAATCAAGAGGCGAAACTGAGAAAACTCATTTGCCATTTTCCTTGCACAGGTCCAGGCTTTGGAAAGAAAAGCAAAGAGATGTCAACCGAGCGTGACTTCTTCATGCGAATGAAATGCACCGTTACCAACAGAGGCAGAACTGTTAACCTCAAGTCTGCCACGTGGAAGGTACCATATTTCAGCCATAATAAGTGGTTCTTATGTAAAAAGACATTTTGGCATGTAGAGAAAGTACATTCTAAGTTTGTTTCTCATACAAAAATCATTGTTTCAGGTTTTGCACTGCACTGGACAAGTTAAAGTGTATAACACTTGCCCTCCTCACACTCTCTGTGGGTATAAAGAGCCTCTTCTCACCTGCCTTATAATAATGTGTGAGCCTATTCAGCATCCATCCAACATAGATATCCCCCTGGACAGCAAGACCTTCCTGAGTCGCCATAGCATGGACATGAAATTTACCTACTGTGATGACAGGTAAACTCCACTGATTTTTCCTTTCCATGGGTGTTTCTATCTTCTTGCACAAAACAAGCTGTCCTTCCAAATGTTCTCCTGTGTGGGCTTGGTAAGCAAAGGCAAGAAGTATAGTCTCTTACCAAGACAGCTATTCCGTGCCTCGCTTAATCCATCTCAAATCTCAATGTAGGCAAAATCGTACTCCTGCTGTATTTCCTCCTCCTGCTGAGTGAGGAATTTGGGTTCCCTGGCAGAAGATGAGGCAACTTAGAGCCATAAGCATTCGCTTCTTGGGTTTTAACAAACTGAGGCGTACATGGGACTTCTGTTCTCATTTTTTGGAAAACACCTCAAATGACATGCCTTATGGACCTTAGTCAAGGACTGGTTTATGGTTAGTTTGGCCCAGGATGCTCTTATCGGTTAGCTGGAACGTACTTTATGCTGTAGATTAACTAAGAATCGCTAAGGCATCCAGAGCATCTGCAGTTCTGAAGTGGGGTTGCAGGCTCTTGCTCAATGAAAAGCAAGCAACCTTTGCTGGTTATCTGCCTGCTCCTTTTAGTGGTGAAATGAAGGGGAGGGGAAGATCTTGGGACAAGCAAGGGGCTGTGTCCTCCGCTCCCTCTTGAGTGGAAAAAATGGAGATCCCACTGGTCTCTCCCTGCCTGATTTCCCCTGGGATCTCCGTGGCATTTCATACTATCTGCTGCTTCTCCCTGCCTACGTATTGTCATAACCATCTTCCCTGCGTGTGAGTGAGCGAGAGATCCCTTCCCGTGAAGTGTCCTCCTGTTTCCCCAGAAAGTCCTGTCTGTGCTGCTGTGGGGTTTTAAGTTTCCTTGAATTTAATGTGAAGTTTTCTGTCTAATGAAACTGATCTCCTGAAATTCAGAGATGCCAGCAACTGCTGAGGTCTGTAGGGTTGTCAGCTGGATTAACATATGCTCACATTTTACGCAAAAACTCACAGGATTGAGATCTTGGGGTTTTTTTAAAACTTATTCTAAACAAGATTATTATTTTAAACAATGTGATGAAGCCACTGTATAAACTAGTGCTGTTAGCAGCTGTGGATGAAAGCAAGATTACAAGTGTGAAACTTGTGACTGACCTTCTTCCGACCTCTCTGAGAATTTAGCAGCAAGTGTGCTGTAACTAGAAATGTCCTCTGATGTAACCACAATGAAACAGACTTTTTTTTTTCCTTCTTCTTGTTAATACTTTCAGGATGAAAATATTGAGGTATCAATAGGATTTTGCTGCTGGGGGGTGGAAAGCAACAATATGGTAGTGACTCATTATTGAAAGCAATGTACTTCTGAATTACTGGGGCCGTTCAGTGGCGGCTGGAGGAGAGTAACAGAGGATTTTGCTGTATTGCAGCATTCACGTGTGTCTGCCAGGTTTAATGCATAAGCGGTTTTAAATGAGAATTAGAGGGACTGATACTATCCCATTAAAGATACATATGTGTATTTTAAAAAGAATGATGTATTATGCCCCGTCTTAAATAGAGAGGGAAAACTTTTCACATGGCAGTGAAATACAACAGCTTCCTCTGGAGGCTTTAAATTGTAGGGAATTTCAGAGATTTTTCTTTTAAACCAAGCCACAAAACAGCACATCTCTTACTAGATAGTTTTGGTTGGCTGTTTCATTCGTGTTTTACTGAGATTATGACAAAGCTGTAAAAAGCCAGCCAGGCCAGAGAAAGAAGAGACCTCACGAACCTCTCAGGTTCTTCCCAGCAGATCCTGCTGGCTCTCCCTTCCCTCCCAGAGGGATGTTGAGTTCTCTCCAACAGGCGACACATCACTAGACACATGAAAATGCAAACCACTCAGCTGCTCTTATCAAACTCGGTGCTGCTAGACAAATTGCATTGAAGGAGCAGCTTATGCCAAGAATGTAAATCCAGGCTGAGGAGGGGAGGAGGAAAAGCAGCATGTGCCAGTCAGATGCCTAAACCCTTTTCAGCCTACTCTGGCCTTTCCGCAGTGATGCAGCAGGGCTGGCACAGCTCATTCTCCGTAAGAGGCTGTGTCGTTCTGCTTTGGGGTTGGTGTCCTTGAGGGCAGCGTGCCTCCTAGCAAGCTCCTGCAGCGATCGGAGTATCCCCCGTCCCCTTTGCAGTTCATCTTGTGTGGACAGTTCTGCTTCCAGGGAGCATTAAGTTTCCATTTTTGAAGCGTTCAGTTAAAGAAACTCTAGGATTTCTGAGGAAGTACCTTAATGAGTGGCATCTGTGCTGGACCTTGCCAGTGGAAGCATCCAGCTTCAGCGTGAAGCTGAAGTGGGTACAAAAGAGAGCTGCCCTGGTACACGAAGCTGAAATTTATGCTTGTGGAAAACGAGGATCACATCTGTCATCTCCTTAAGAAACCTCATAGTCTTTGTCACAAAGCAACACACAAAATATAGGCTGACTACCTTTCGGCGCTTTGTAACAAAAACTAGTTGGCCAGCATGAAGTGCCTTGATTCTCCTGGATTTTCCTCAGGAAGATACAGGACAGACGCGATATGCAGCAGGCAGGACTGGCCATCCCTCGTTTAAAATGTGTGAGACACAAGCCTGTGTATTTTGCCATCTGAGGAGAATGTATATATGTGGGCCTGTGACTTGCCAGTGGTTAGGGGGATATGTTTGTGTGCTTAAAACAACTTTTGCAAGGTGATAAGGCTGTAAATAAAAGTTTATGAGATATAAATAGTAAAAATAGGTTGTTCTGTTTAAATGCCTGCTTCAGCCATTCCTGGAGAGTGATTTTAAAATGTTCCCTTGCTCCACTTATCTTGGCTAAGTGGTTTACAGGAAGGATTATTTTAGCTGTAATACGGAAACGCTGATCAGTGGTACAATTCAGTAATCCAAGTGAGGATTTAGTTCAGCTGCACAATGCTTTTGTGTCAGGGAAGATGGCCAGTGAGGGTGTTTTAGTCAGGAAAAAAGTCAAGTCTTCGTACGACGGCAGTTAGGTTACTTTGGTGGCATAGCTGATGCTCAGCAGGGCAGGGCCGCAGGGACGATGGGTAGATAGAAGTAGTGGCAGTATGTTTCTGTGGTGGAAATATCCACAAAACAAAAGTGAAAACTGTATCTGAATTAGATAGAAAACCCCAAAACTACTTCAGGTGCCCCAGCACATGCAGCCACAGCCTTTACGGTTTATGCGTAACAAAGGAAAACCATCTGCTGTGTTTTGGAGGGGACTAGAGCTTTGAAAGCAGTGAGAGTAACGTGGCATCGGCTTTACATCTTCACCCCTGCGGCCTCTCTGGGGTGCTGGCGAGGGGAGAGGCAAGCGCTCCTTGCCCATAATTGCTGTGGATAGCGTGCATGAGGGGAAAGAAGGATAAGGAAACAAATCTGTTCTGCATGGAGCGAGATGTGCAGGCAGCGTCACAAACCGCTTCCCTGGCACCAGCCCACTGAGAAGCGCGTGTTCTCCATTACTTCAAAGGCATGGCTTGCTTTGGGGATTTGTATGTTCCTGGTTACAAGAAACCAAATTAGTTATACTCTTTTTTTTTTTTTTTTGCTTTTGCTTGATTGGAAGAGTTTTTGCTTTAATGCAAGAGTTGAAGAAGAAAAAGGAGTGATGGAGGATGTATGGAGATTCAGAATAGGATGGTGCAGGAAGACGCAAGGCCAGTAGCGTTGGTCCCAGTTAGCTTTCTCCTAATATGAGTGTACATACAGGATCCAGGCTGTGCCCGACTGAGAGGAGACTGAGTTGTATTGTGCTTCCAGTTATGTCCCTGTAAAGCAGAAATCTGCAGGCACAGGACGTTACATGAGGATTTAAGTCGGTTTGCTATTTGACCTATATTTGGGGAATATTTCTGTATTAGGCGAGAATGCAAATAAGCATTTGAAAGGGCCTCCTGTCCCTCCATCCCTGCTCAGGGGAAAATGCAGTATGGAGACAACAGTGAAGTGATGATATCTGAAGCCAAAGATGTGCATTTGGCAAAACTGGCTTTTGATATATTTAAGAAAAAAAGCATGACCAACTGCTTTTGTTAATCACGAAACTTTGATTTAGCCAGACCAAATGAGTAGAAGAGGCAGTCTTGGTTTTTCCTGTACCCTTCTAGTTTTTTTGCCTAGCAGGGCATATACACCTGATCAGGCCAGTTGTCCCTCTGAGGAGTGGACCGGAATCCCAGGATTTTGCATTTTATTTTTTTTCATTGGCCTGGGTTAGAGCAGCAGAAGGCATGAATATTTTTGAGAGGACATGTGGGTACTTGGCAGGACTGCCACAGTGCCCTGCTGCAGCAGGCTGGCAGGGTGCTTTACCCCAGGCATAGTGGCTGGGGGGGGGTTTTTTTTTTTTTTTTTTTAACTCATTCTGCTTTAAGTATAACTTTGTTTGTTTGTTCCCGTCAAGACCAATTTAACTTCAATAACTTGGTAACAGTTTGAATAAAGAAAGACTTTGTTAAGAGATCCACACCCTCACACACAGTCCACACACGGCTCAACGAATATACACCCAGCTATTTTTTTATGAGTAGTAAACATTAGAGCAGCCTTTCACAAAGAGCCTGAATTCTCAGTCCTGATGGTTCTTACAGTTCTATTTTAACTCAAGAGATGGTATACAATAAAAAGCTTTGTGCTCCTACAAAAAAAGACAGAAAAGCACGATTTTAAGAAAAACCAAAACACTTGAAATAGCTCATCTTGTAGGAGATGTAGTGTTCGAAGCAGTGAGCTTTGTTTGCTTTGCCATGTCTCAAAGAGATAAAGTAGGGTAAAGTACAAATCTAGAAGTAGGATTCAGATCGCTTGTTTCTCCATTGTGTGCCCTAAGCACACAACTCTGCCTTTGCTTCATAGCCCGAGAACTGGGTATATTGAGTGACGCTGAAGTAGTGCTCAAAAAGCATTTAAGTAGCAGTAGTTGGGACAGATCTGCTAATGTGGAGAGCTACTGCCCTCCTCTTTACTCTCTTTTCTGAGATTTTGACTTCAGTGTATCCTGGTGACAAGTTTAGCTCAGAAAACTGAAGTGCCAGCCTGGCAAAATTAAGATTTCCTCAACGGTATTTGTGTTTTCAGAAACGAGTGGTTAATGGGAGAATAAACAGCCTCTCAGCCCACCTGCCATCTTCAACAAAAATTATTATTATCCTTCTAATTAGCACCAATTTAGCTTTCACAAATGCAAAGGAAACGGGAAGCCTACGATGGCAGGA